TCAAGGTATCATTCGCCTAGGTTTAGATCCTAACCCTAGCCGCCGCCGCTTCCGCACCGCGCGCCCCCGAGGAGAAATCGATCTCCATGGGGCAGCAGACCTCTTTAGGCGCCGGATCCTATTGATCCTGCGCCCTCTTCGGCCGTCGTCAAGCGGCAGATCGGGTCTTCTCGCTGCGCGCAGGCTACCTCGCCGCCCTCACCAAGGCCGCCGTGGAGGATGTTAGGCGTCGCCCATCCCAGCGCTTGATGGTGGTGGCTCGGCAGATCGACCCCAACACCGCTACGCCGCCATGGTGGCGGCCGCCAATCTGCGTCATCCTCGTGCGACCTCGGCGTGACCGCGACCATTGCGGCGCCTACTGTTCGACTCCGGGGCTCGTTGTGCCGCGAGCCGGGACGAGCCTTACCGAGGTGCACTGCTGTCGGGTAGAACTCGATCCATTGTCGCCAGTATCTTTTTGGTTTGCCCGATCACTGATCGGGATTGAGTCGCCCATCGCCAGTCGACCTCGCGCATACCTACTCTGGCATCGGCATCGATTATAATGACATCTACATCTTCGACTGTGCGGCCTGGCCGGGGCAGGCGATGCCGAGGGGACGCCTTCTCGTGTCGCTTCTCGGTCATTCAGTCCGCATGTCTACATCGTCGGTTCGTTATCACCACCACTGATCGGGACGCCTCCGCCGGCTTCTTCCACGTCGCTCCACCTCGCGCCCGGCTTCTTCCATGTCGCTCCACCTCGCGCGTACTCGGTCCGTACAACCGATTATGCGCGATCCACCTGGCTCCCATGACGTCCATCGCCGAGTACTATGCGCATCTTCTCCGAGCAATAGGGCTGCTGGCTTGCTGCCGTGTCGCCTCGTCAGGCTGCAGCACCGTCGTCCGTGTGTCCGCTTCGCCGTTGCATCTACATCACCATCCCCTGTGCATCGACGACTGTACTGCGCACTCTTTGCTGGGCCATCTGTCTGCACAAGGTCTTCGTCCTGCTGATTGGGTCTTCGTCATGGAGCTGCTGCTACCCGCGCCATCGCTGAGCCATGCTCGCCGGTCGCACCCCTCGCATCGTCGCTGAGCCCTGCTCGTCGATGCGTCTGCCCTCGCACTGCTTCTTCTTCGTCCAGCACAACCACGTCGACAGCATCACCGTGGTTGGGGCCCTCTACCTTGTACGCCCGGTATTGGCAACACCGACGCGTGCTTTCATCCCCGATGCGTTGCAGGGACTGGCAAACCCAGCCCACGCCTCGGCGCACAGGTGGCTTGACTGCATCGACTTTGGCATCGACCCTCCCATTCCTACCCCGTCTGCCTCGACTGCGTCGTCTCCTTTCTTCTACGTCTACGACGGCCTTGACTGCGTTGACTTCGGCATCGCCCCCCTTCCACGACGACTGCCTCGACGCGTCTCCGTCATCATCATGGCGCCCCTCGCGCGCCTGCAGCTCCATCGACATGGCAATCCGACCACAACTACGTCGACCTCGGCCATCTTCAGCACCGCTTCTTCGACCACGGCTATTGCGCCCTCACGCTCGGCTACCTCGACATCGGCACAAAGGGCTACCGCCTTGCATGAGGACTCATCGGCTTCTTCTCCAGCCACATCATATGCGCCGCATCGACTGTTATGACTGTAGGGGATGTTAGCTTTAGCTTCTTCTCCAGTCTCACCGTCTGCAGCGCTCCCGCTATGACTGCGGGGGGATGTTAGAGTAACTAGGAATAGTACCATATTGTCTAACCACGTGAGGTGTTAGTCCTATATACTCTATATAATCAGCCCATGAGGTCCAATGCAATATAACACAATCTCCACCAATTATATTCTCCTTCACCAAGCATAACAGAAGAGTTCTCTGAACTGCAATACAATTTTCAAGTAGATCGAAACGAGATTTGCAAGAACCTATTACATAAAAGAAGACTTGAAAATGTGATGTCCGTGCAAGAGGCGCGGAGTATCAAACTGGCTGGAAAAGATAGAATGGAAACATTGGAACTCAACTGGACGAAAGATGTTGACAGGTTTGTGGAGGACATTGAAGTGTTGGGAGAGCTAGTGCCACCAACAACTTTAGAGGAGTTAAAGATAGACGGTTACAATAGTGTCAGATTCCCTGAGTGGTTTGTTGGTAACATTGTGTTTCATCTCCCAAATCTTGTTCTTATTTCCATGTCGATTTTCCCAAGTGCAACAGCCTGCGACCACTTGGCCAGTTACCTAATTTGACACATCTGGAACTTGAAGGAATGAATAGCATTTCAGAAATTAACTGGGACTTATGTGGCAGCAGGCAGGCATTTCCTCGACTGGAGTATTTTAAACTATGTAAAATGGAAAGCCTCAAAGTGTGGTACACAATATACCATGGTGGAAGGGACGGTGTGAGCGAGTTTATGTTCCCCAATCTTTATTATTTGGAAATAACTGATTGCCCCAACTTGAGGATGAAACCATGTCCACACGGAGTTTCTCAGAGCTGGAGAATCGAGGGAAGAAGTGATGGTGTAATTATCATCATGGGGGGAGGGGGCATCTGAGATCAATGTTACTTCCTCCGCCTCTGTTCCAGTATCTACTCTTCTGTTTGTAAGTGGCTGCAAGGTGCCTATGCATCAGTGGAGGCTGCTTCACCACCTCCCTGGCCTCACTACATTACGCATCAGTGGAGGCTGCAAGGTGCACATGAAGCCACAAGCACAAAAGATGTGCCATGGTGATGACGAAGATGCATCGAGGCAATCATCATGGGAGGGGGTGATGCCAAGATCAATGTAGTTAGGTCCGTTGAGAAACATAGATGCAATCAAAGTAGATGGGACAGGAACAGGAGGGTTGATATATTATTTGCATTGACTTGGCATATTCATAGGATTTGGGGTCAAGTAGATAAACGGGGTCTTAATCCTAACTAAATCTATCTATCCTTAGTTGTGATATATACTCTAACAATGTGGGCTGGTACTGGAATGAGCATACTCATAGGATTTGTCGTCATATGAAGAATAGACCAATTAACAATAAAACCTACAACAACCTTGTTTTTAAGTCCTTATGATGAGAAACCATTTTTTTCTTAGAATGAGTTCTAGACGTTTTTGATACATCATGTGTGCTATACCACAAATCAGGAATGGTGTGGTTATCTAGCACAAATGACAACCGTGTGAAAGGGGATAAAGAAAGATTCATATGACATATTGATATGTTTTTCCATTAACAGAGTGTTTAATAACCTAACATCATGGTTTCACTCCCTCGACTCCCCTACAATCATTGTTGAGTCAAACTTCTCAGAATTTGACCAGGTTTACAGAAAATAAACAAAATTATATAACTTTAAAGATGTTTTATTTGTTGACCCAGAAAATATGAACCGCTTGAGTTCTATTAAAACACATAAGCATTTATGATAGTTCATTCGTTCCAACTCGTAGATGTTAATATAATTTCAATAAAAGCTTATTCAAAGTTGCAGAAGACATAACAAAGTACTAATTACTGAGACATGTGACTATGTGAGTACGTGACACACTGCAAAAGATTAGTATGTCCTGGACGGGTCTCATTATTTTTTTTGTTCTATATGATGTAGGCTTCTTTTTTGTTCTATATAATGCAGGCAGACATAAGACTGGTGTATGAGTGCATTATGCCTTCTAGCAACTAGCGGCAGGTCTTTGCCAATGTTTTTCTTTTAACCATAATTCACAGATGTCATCAAAATATTATCAGATCCTCTGCTTTGTTGACAAATATTACCAGATGTCGTCCAAATATTACCAAAATTGAAACATATAACCAAAGCAGCAAATTCATGGAATCACAGCTCAAATGAACAAGGGAGAGGAATCAGTAACAGAGACAAACAAAAGTACCTAAACTGCTAAGCAAGGAAGTGGAACTTGCTGGGTCACTTCTTGTCTTCACCCTGAAAACAATCTGTCAACTGAGAATTGTAGATGAAGCAAACTAAGATGACAAGCAAATATCTAATTTTAACTATAGGTAAATCTGTTGGTATTACAGCAATAAATAGAACAACATTCATTCACTGGTCAACCAGTACATTATAGCAAAAAATGGTAGATTCTTGATTTTTCTAGGATAATTTAACAGATCCAGATCTAGCTCCACTTTGAGTCTAGCTAGCCTAGCCTGGTTTACTCGTTATTAACTGCAGATTGCACGTAGAAACGATGATCCAGAAATAGTATGCAATTTAAATGGTATTGCGCTTTGGATCTGGCTAGTGCATCCATCGTGCACACTTCAATACGAATTAGATCTAGGTGAGGAACTTGGACGGGTTCTTGGAGCTAAACTGGAGTAGATCTTTAAGCTTCGGGACGGTGGTAGTTGCGAGGCCGGGCGACGGAGATAAGGAAGAAGCCGTGGGGCGAGCTCGAGCTCGATGGCAGCGGGCGGGGGCTTCGGTGGTGGTGGCGATGGGAAAATGAGCTCGGGTGGCGGGGAGGGCGGCGGCGGTTGTGCTTCCTCTTCGTCGCCCCTCGCTGGTCGGGAAGAGCCGCCCAGACTGGGTGCGGGACGAGAGCCACCCGTGGAAAGTACAGGGCTTGGGTCACCCTCTCCGAAAGTGACGGGCTTCCAAATGCAAGGGGCTTCTCCTCGTGACCGAAATCATGGGGGGCATGGCCGGGAAAACGTGGGGAAACCCCACGTGGAATGGGTCTCCCAAAGGAGGCCTTATGGCATTGTCTCCGTTTGTCAACTTTATCATCGCCAATTACAAAATCGCTTTCAAAAAAGCGATAGAACCTTACTAATATTTTCTATTTTCGCTGACGTGTCGTGCCATATATGCGCGTCAGCGTGCAAGTTAACGCCTCCGTCTCCGCTGACCAACCGCGTCCGCAACTGTTCGTCAGCTCCCCCTCCTCCACGCTGCCGTCCACCCTCGCCGCGAGCCTGCCGTTGTACGCTTCGATCAGCTCGTTCGCCTCCTCCACGCAGCTTGCCAGTAGAGATGGTCTCCATGGCGGCCGCGGCGGCGGCCGTGGGCGTGCTGCTGCCGTTCCCGTTCTACTACGCGCTGTGGACCCACCCACAGCGTTGGGTGGACTTGTGCGGCCGCGGCGCCGACCCGTGCCGGCGGATGGCGCAGGTCTCGCACGCCATCAAGGCGCTTCAGCTCCTCGCGCTCGCCTCCGTCGCTTCATTCTCCGGGCCCCGCCGCTCTACTGCCCGTCCTCCTCGCCGTCGGCCAGTATCTCAACTTCAAGTGAGTAGCCGATTCGTCCTTCTCCTGTCTGATCTCCCAGTTAGCGAGGCACCGTACATGATCCATCCCGCGTTAAGCAATAGCTTCAGGATTTTATAATCTCTACAGCTTGCAACTGTTTCTGTTGATACAAAGGCGCATTGATTAAGGATCTCTTGTATTGTTGTCTGCGTTGACTGAATTACGAATTGTAAGGACTACTTGAATGAATTGAGCTACTGGCTATCAGAATGATAGATAGCCGAAGATATGTAAGGACTACCTTAGGTGAATCAAACTAAGTGTATTCTATTCAACGGTTCTTAGCTGTAGGAATTGGAGGTCAGTGGTTTGGAATTTGAAGGAATAACTTATTACTTCAGTCGGATCTTGTGCAAGCCTTAATTCTCTTTCCATTTAGTGCTACAGAATTGCTTCAGGTGATTAAACACTGGTAAATGTGATTTCGAAACTGGGTACAAGAAATGGTTAGGGAAGTGGACTAGGCAAACAATTATCATTTTCTCCCGTTTAACACTCATGGGTTTAGGCACACTTGTAGATTAATGGAACACAATCTCTTGGAATTTTCCTTGTCTTCATATAACCAATGGTTTGCATCATGGTGCTACCTTCATTGATAGATTTTTATTCTAAATTTTGTCTCTGTTAAATTGTTGATAAACCTTGAAAATGCTGATGAGATCATGCTGTAAGACTTGGGACTCCACTCACTGTTGTAACAGATGACAACAAATTTGGCTTTTTTATCACATATGGATACCTATTTGTTTCTTTTTTAAACAAGGAGGTTAATGCTGACCAATCTTAACACTGGTTACCTGTAGGTGTCGTCATAGTGTAAGGTGTGAGTGGAGTTGGTGTGGTATGCTGTATGTGTAACATTAAGTAAATTCATTGCTTGCTTATTTCCATTTGTGTTGAAATCCCTGCCCTGAAGTTTCAGTTGCGATTAATTATTTAGTAAAATGGAAAATGATGGTAGTGCTGAGGTGAATGATTAGGAGAGAGGTGGTTAATACCAAAGATTGGTGCACTCAGAATGAGTGGAGCTAGGTGGCTGGCTAGTGGTTACAAAGGTGAAACAGAATTCCAGCCATTACACTAGGTGAATAATGATAAACAAGAGTAGCAGAAAATCTTGCCGTGTGAACTAGTACAAGAAGATCCTGATCTCATCATATGCATTCCATTTTATAAATATCGTAATACTTCTACACTACATGGACATAGTACTATACTGAGGGAGTTCATAGTCATCGAAGCTTTGAAGTTTGTTTGTGTTCCAGTGTGTATATGCTGCTAGCAGTAGCAGCCATTATATGTTCTGCTTCCTCACGTGCAAGAAGAAGGTACTGATAACTGGGTTCCACTAGCAGAGAGATGGGGACTGACGGAGCTGCTAGCGCCCGTTTAGCTGGGCGAGACGGGACGTCAAGTTCCATATTGGCACGCTGAAGTGGCGTGCCACGTCAGCGAAAATAGCAAAATATTAGTAAGGTTACTGTTTTCTCGGGCAATTTTGTAATTGGCACGATAAAGTTGGCAAACGGAGAGGCAGCCACCATAAGAGTGGCAAATAGTTAGATATCCCTATTTGGCAAGAAGAGGTGTTTCCTTCCTCGTATCTTTCCATTTTGCTTTACTTCCATTTCCTGCCGTGTCTAGCCTGATTGGCAAGAAAAACCGTCTTCATCGTATTTTTCCATTTTGCGGTTAGACCATTAGAGGATTCCTCCACTATGGTCTTTTGTTTCACCAAATTTGTAGTGGCGTAGTGCATTTCACCCTCTCTTGTTTGGCTGTTAGGAGGGAGCCGCTGCTGCAAAACACGGGTGCTTCACTTCCATTTCCTGCCGTGTCTAGCCTGATTGGCAAGAAAAACTGTCTTGATCGTATTTTTCCATTTTGCGGTTAGACCATTAGAGGATTCCTCCACTATGGTCTTTTGTTTCACCAAATTTGTTCGGCAACTGAGGTAGTGCATTTCGCCCTCTCTTTCTGATGTTCAGGAAGACTGCTTCTTGAATAGACCAGGACGTATGCCTTGTAGTTGGGATTTTCGTGTGTTTCGTTAGCTGTTCATTGGCTGAGTTTTTGTTTAGACAAATTGGTTTGGGGGTTGCTTTACGTTTTTTCTAGGAATGACTATGATCTCGCCCGGTTTGTTCAGTAATAATTTGGTTGCCTGCAAAACGCATGCCTTCTCCTTTTCCATAGGAATATGGAGAATACAGGTGTGTCTCAGTGGAAGCAGCTGCTGGCTTCCTTTGGGCCAATTGTGTAACCTTGGCATTTGGGAATAGAGATAAGCGAAGCAGCAGCATGAATGTATGCTCAATCAGGTGCTGTTTTGATCTTCCCTTGTCATGGCCTCCCCTGGTGCCTCTATGGAGAGGATCCACAAGTCCATATAGTGTGTACTTTGACTGTAAACTGAATGTTCATGCAAAAGAAAGCCTCGATTTCTTTGAAAAGCAACAAATTCTAGTGCAAATAGATCAACATATTCTAGTGAAAATGATTTGTCTGGCTATGTGTTCAAAGCTTTAATGTAATACAATGAAGTGGGAAATCTATCTGATATTTGGATATGTAAATAGGATCAGATTATACCCAAATCACGAGAAGTTATTCTCAAGTAAATGCGTTTTCCAACTTGTTTGCTTATTGCAGTGGTGATTTGTGATTGTCATCACATTCTTCTCTTCTGTTCCGTTTCTTTTAGTTCTTCGTTTTGTTTTGCTGTGTTGCTTTTGCCTAGGTGTAGAATTGTCTACTTCATTCCATGCTACGGTTTCCATTAAAGGTTTCCTTGGCGATTTTCAGTATTGTGAATGCTTCATTTGCAGGTTATAATTATGGTTCATCCTCAGTGGCTAATAGGTGCAATGGGGATTCATATGATGACAATGTTGTTAACTGCACTCAAGTTACTCCTTCGAAGGTACAGAAATGTCTTGGTATATCATCTTGCCTTTCTTATGTCTTGGAAGCACCAGCGATAATTCTCCTTCTCTAATGCATTTTCTATTATGCCTGTTCAGGATGTTTCTTCTAGGGAAGCTTCAAATGATTTCACATGGTTGGGAGCTCCCTGGCATTGCCAACAACGTTTGAAGCACTACAAATCTTTTCCGCCAGAGAGGAATTACTATCTCGGTATGCCCACTTGCTGTCGCTGGCTACTTTCATTGTCTTTTTAGCTATGTGCACCTCTATTCCTTGCTCTTTGTCAATCAAGTATACATTTACATTTCAAACACCATACCTAGGCAGACAAGAAACTGAGCCCCCAGAAAAAAAATGCTAGTGTCCTGAATATTACTTGGACAGTTCATGAGATAAAAGTGGATATATTTTGTTGAAAATAGATTTCTTTTACTTTGACAAATATTGTTTTTTCATTATTCCTACTTTGAGATGATATTAAGGAACCTTTTGGCTTCATAGAAACACATAATTAAAGTAGATGAAGATCGAGTGCCAACATTATTTTCATGTAGTAAACTTTTGAAGGTTGAACGTTAGCTGATACATTCCTACTATACTTATAGGTGCATAGTTTTGTATACATCATGAGTGAAGAGATGAAGAGACTTATTGCTTATGTGGAAGATCTCTATGAGGATACAAATTCATGCAGCATGGTCAAGCTACAATGGTTTGACAAAGTTGACGAGGTTGGTGTTTCGTTGCCCATGGATTTTGATGACACAGAGATTTTCTTTTCTATGGGCCGTCAAGATCTCAATGTAGAATGCATTGATGGATTGGCTGCAGTCTTGAGTGCCCAGCATTACGAGAAGTTGAAGAGTGATACCAGATGCAGCTTGTGGCAGCCTTATTTCTGCTGTCGGCAGATTGATAATGGTGAAGTCAAGCCTTTTGATGTCACACAGCTGCAAGGCTACTGGAGCCAGGAAGTACTTAGGACCATGTTCAATGCAACTTCCTCTCTGAAGGTGCGTTTCAAGGTCCCTAAATCCGGACCCAGTTCAGATGGAGGGCTGAAGAGGAAGCGTGATGCATTCAATAATGATGCTAATCCACAGAAGGTCATTTGTTCTGGTGCTTCTACTTCTAGGTTTTATGGTGAGAACATCAAACACTTGTGTCCTGGTTGCCATGTGGAAGTACTATCTCAAGATAGTGGTATAAGGGGATGTTGGTTTAGATGTTTGATTCTGAAGAGGCATAAAGATAAAATCAAGGTGCGCTACCTAGAACTTCAGGATGCTGACGAGACTGGAAACTTGGAGGTGTGTTATGTTCAGTTCTTTATAATTTATTTCCTTTTGTTTCATGCCATTGGATTTTAGAACTGGAGTATGACCTAATGTGATGCTTGCAGGAGTGGGTTATGCTAACACGAATTGCCAAACCTGATCAACTGGGTATACGTTTCCTTGGAAGGCCAATGGTTCGTCCACAGCACGTGGAAGAAAGCAAGGCCTTGTGCTTTGATGTTGGAGCCATTGTTGATGCGTGGTGGCATGGTGGCTGGTGGGTGGGAATCGTGTTGTGCCATGGAGGCAGCGGGCGTCTACAAGTTTATTTTCCAGGTAACTTCCCTTCCTGGGATTATGGGCAATTCTTTTATGCTGTGCGTTTTGTGAGCAATTAGGGTATTAATGAAAACACAATACCTTAACTTCTTTTTCGTCATTCATCACAGGAGAAAAGCGAATCGCTGAATTTGGTGAAGATGAGCTGAGGTGTTCCCTTGAGTGGGTTGGTAACAAATGGAATCCTTTGAAGGAAAGAAAAGATATCGCAAGCAAGCTGACCTCCACTGCAGATCGTGGAAGTGAATATTTGATTGGAAAACAAGTTCCGCTGACTTTTAATGTGCCTCCAAAACCAGAAGATCAACTAGAGGGACTTCGATCTGACAAGAGGGGTATTGAGAAATCTTCAGTCTACACTATCTCACGAGATCAGAAACGTGTCCTTGCCGACCTGACTAATGATCTGAAGTTAGATAACTTGAGGTGGAGGCCAAGAAAGAGGAGTAGAAGATCTGGCTCAAGAAAGCAGTCGGACACTAGCAGCGGAAGCAGCAGTGGGGAGATGGACTTGTCCAGCCCCAGTGGAAGCTTTGGCCAACCTAATCTAGTGCCCGACGAGGAGACATGCAAGAGCAGTGGAGAGCAGCCTTTTATGGGTGTGCCTGTGCAGGTTGCCAATCTTGTGATGTCCAGGTGAAAGCTAAATTCAGCAGCACCGGTTGAAGGGGTTAACATGTTAGCTTACTTTCTGGAGTTACACCGGCCTTGGTGAGATGTAGGTTTTGTGCATCCCCAGGTTATTTTTGCCAGCACAACCCAGGTCCAGGTTTTGACAGTTTTTTTTAAGGCTCATCATCAACAGTAGTCAGTTAGATGTGAGGATGTGTCACCAAGAACCAGTATACAGTTTGTATGTACTGACTGACCGAGATAAGATTTTTATCTGGTCCCTATAATTTCTAGGGTTGATAGCTTTGTTAACATCGTCTAGGAGGGGAAGAAGGCCCAGTTTGGTTTCTGGTTTTAGAGCTTTCAGTTTTTCTTTTGGAAATCCTAGTCTTTGTTGTTTGTTTGTTCATCCAGTCTTGTAGCAGTGGCGCGCCTTACATAAAGTTAGGCTACTTGTGAACTCGGTGAAATGTCACAAAATAGTTGCTTGTTGCCAATTTCTGTGTTCTTTTAAATGTCAGTTAGGCTACTTGTTGGATTCTGTTTTCTCACCGTGGTGGACTTCACTGTGCCTGCTTCTTTCTGTACCACCGCCCACGGAATGGTTGTGAAATGTGAATTGCGCGGAAGCAAGCGGCATGCTGTTGTTGCCTGTTGGAAAATGGGGTAATTGGTTGGTGTGAAGAATCCCTATCGTTGAAAAACGGTGATGATTCGTTGGTTTGGAGAACCTAACTCTACCTTGGATATATGGCAATGGTAGGCTTTGACAGGTTTGGCTTTGCTGGTATTCCTGGTAGCCTACCACTGCCTGCCTACCTTGGATATATGCCGTTGCTGCAGCGCCACCTCTTGACGGTAGTTTACACGCAATCGCATGACAAAACTAGTAGCTTCTCGTCTTCTCCCGCCGTGCAGTGCTAATTGATGTTCACATCGCGTTTCCAAGTGCTGTCTGATAAAGGCATGCAAGTGTGAAGTGTCCATCTCGAGCCTGTGCCAAAGACAAAAGCATCGTCGCAAGTCGGGCACTGGGCAGAGGAAAGTCAAGGAAATGCCATTCCCATTCGATACGTGCAAGGCATCCAGGCAGCCTGCGTGGTTGGACCAGAATCTGATTCGACTCGATGAGAAGACGATGCCTGGCCCTGGACACAGCACAAAAGCTAGGTATCAATCCAATTAGCCCACTCGCACCTTGCGGCCCTCTGCCCTCGTAAAAGCGGCGGGCTCCTTCTGCCCTCCAGGATCAGGACCACCTCCTTTGCCGGCGTTGAAACCGACCGGATCCGATGGCCGCCGCTGGTCGTGATCGAGCTCATGAGCGGCAAGGTAACCACTGCGGTGGCCAAGCCAACGGTTCTTTGCTGCTGTGATCATGAGCTAGAACCGGAAGTGACTGGTGCGTTTTGTGACGTGGGTGCAGCAGCTCTACTGCATGACGGTGAGGATGAACATCGACTGCACCGGGTGCTACCAGAGGGTCAGGAGAGCGCTCCTCCAGATGCAAGACCTGGAGAGCCACCTGATCGACCGGAAGCAGCACCGGGTGAGCGTCTGCGGCGCCTTCGTGCCGCAGGACGTGGCCATCAAGCTCCGCAAGAGGACCAATCGCCGCGTCGAGATCCTCGAGATCAAGGAGGTCGACGCCGGGGCCGGAGGCGAAGGCGAACCACCGGCCCCCGGCGGCCAGCAGCCGTCCTGAAAGGAAGGGAGTAGCCGTAGGACAGGACACAGTCACACAGGCACAGATCTGTCTCTTGACCGGACCCCAATGTAAATCTACGCTCTGCTCTACTCCTTGTAGTTGTTGGAACGATGGAAGCACACAGAGCACTGCTCGAAACAGATATGATTAATCCTTGAACGCGTGCGATCAAGGTCTTAATTAAAAGCTAACCTTGACCAGCCACGCTGCGGTAGCAAGTGTTTCGCTCAATCGGTTCGATGATGGTGCTGTTCAGTGTTCACGCCCCTCTTCGCCGCAAGTTGGGTGGTTCACCGTCCCTGCCATACTACCGGTGGCAAAGAGCACGGACTCCTACCTTAGAGTACGTGCTACAACGGAACCAACAACGCTACCAGCACTGAGTAACCAACCACGAGGACGAAATCAGACACAACCGAGGTGATCACACTTATATATACTCACTCATGGTCTCACAGACACGACGCAAATGGTCTGCACCCTGCAGCAGCCAGGCTAGAGTCTTCTGAACCTGCACATGCTTGGTGCCCAGCCTTCCAAGGCATCCAGTCCTAACAAGGTAACCCCGACAAACGTAAGAGCAGCAGGGCTGCTGCCTTCGAGTGCAGCCTCCGGAAGGACAAGCAGCGCCAACCATAAGTATCCATACATCACCAACTTGCCTCAACAAAGTACTGACAGATTATTAACAGATTTGGTACCGATGATGACGACGACGATACCGTGACAATGACAGCGCGGTAGCAAGAGAACCATTGCCCCGCAATCTCTCAACATTTGTGTCATGGCGATGAGGATCATCACCAAGTTAAGATTGGTGCTCGTTGCCCACTGCCCACCAAACCACAGCACCGGACTGAAAAGCCAGCGGTGGTAAGTGAGACAGATGCCAAAGAAGCTGAAAAGAAGGCGCTGTACCTGTACTGTACATAACCACCTGGCGAGATTGGTGCTCGTTGCTAGCTAGCTCTTGGCACCAGCACCAGCCACGCATGGTAAAGCCAGGGTTTCCTTGGAGTGGCGCTAAAGCCTGCAGAGGTAGATGGGCAGCAGAGGACGAACGAGCCCACCGTCGGCCGCCCGGACAGCAGCAAATGTGTCCGTCCGCACACACGTACACTCGTGCTGTTTGCTCCTTTTGCCACAGCCATTGGGAGCTCGTCGTGCGACAAGGAGAGCTTGGCTGACTCATGATCAGCAGCGGAAAATGGGCCTGGCGGTGAAGCGCGTCTTCCTCCTCGCCGCCTCCCTTGTGCTCCTCCTGCTCAGCTTCGAGTTCCTGGAGGAGGGGGCTCTCCGCCTTGTGAGCCATGGCTGCGGCGAGGTCAGTGCCGTGGCAGTGACCCGTGATGCTGGTTCTGGTTTCGTCACCAGGTTCAGGATGCTGGTAAGCCTGGATCATCATCATCGGCCGCGACACCCACACCGGAGCCATCAAAAGAGTTCTGCAGCTGCAGCTCCGGCACCGACACCAGCGCTGGCGCCAGTTCAGGTTCATGAAGCAAGAGCTGCCCCCACTCCCACTCCCACTCCTGCTCCTCTTCCCCATGAGAGGCATAGAAGGATGCCACTAAGAAACCACAGCCACATTGCCCCAGTGAGGAGTGTGGCGCGCAGACTGGGAGGTGGAGGTCACGCCAGGCTCCCCACAGCCGCCATTGTCGCCCTGGCTGTGGCGGGAGCATGTCTGCTTGTTCTCGGAGTTGCAGTGGCAGCAGCCTTACTCAGGAGATCAAGGAAGCTTCAGAAAAAGCCTTTCAAACTGTTTTCCCATGGACTCACAGGTCAACTTGTGCTACCATCAAGGTTAGTTCGCATCCCGGCGCAGATCTGCTTTACCCGGGTTCTGCTGTGCAGTGCCAGGAGGACTATGCGATCCTCAAAGAATCTTCAGAATCTATGAGCTTATCCGTTCTTCCCACTCCATCAAAAAGTGCAGAGATAATCATAAGCGATTATGCTGTGAAAGCCAGCACCAACTTGCAGTCTGATGAAGCTGACTCTTTCCGTTCATTGCCCTGTTCTCGTTCATCAGGTGGCTCCATTACAGAGTCGCCGCTGCAAAATTAAGATAAACCTATCGCAGATCCGTCTCCATCTTCTCGACATAGGGATGATTCACCTTCTAGTTCATCATATCAATCACTCTCACCAGATTGTAGATCTCCCTTCTGCCCAAAGACTCCACCTTTCACAGCTCCCGGTCACGCCCAAGTGCATAACGCCTTTTGCCATCTTCCAGAAAACCCAGATGAGGAGAAAACTGAAGTAATAAACCACCAAAAGACTGCAAAAGCTACCACCAATTCAGGATCCATGGGACATCCTGAAGCTCCAAAAGTAGACCAGGTCAATGCAAAGCTCAGGCATCTATCGTCAGGATATAAGTCTACTTCCTTTGCTATTGAGACCACACCCTCCGAAACAAACTCAGCATTCAGGGTGTCAAATACAGACATTAATTTGGATCCAAAGGAATCAATACCGAACTCAGCTGAAGAAGCAAAGTTCAAAGCATCCGGAGCAACAAGTACACCGAAAACACCAACCCCCCTCCACCGCCAATCAAACCTACTTCAAGTCTTAAAGGGCAGAACTCTGGCCAGCCTCCATTGCCACCTCCATTACCGATCCAGTTACAAGTTGGCAAAGATGGGTTACCACTTCCAAGGTTGAAACCTCTGCATTGGGACAAAGTAAGGGCAGCTCCAAACCGTTCAATGGTGTGGAACGACATTCAGTCAAGTTCCTTTGAGTTTGAGTAAGCCAAAAATTGATTCCCATTACTAGATTGTGATTTCATTTCCTATTATCACATCTTACAACAGCATACATATGCAGATTTGATGAACAGATGATCAAGTCATTGTTTGCATACAACTTTCAAGGGCCAGCGAAAAATGAGGACCCCAAAAGCAAGAGTCTATCTACCAGCAAACATGTCATTGAGCACCACAAACTTCAAAATACTACTATACTCTTGAAGACTTTAAACGCTAGCACTGAACAAGTCTGCAGTTCTATAACAGAAGGTATATTTTGCTGCATTTGGATTTAAACTTACCGAGTAAATGATGGCCAGATGAACCTACTGCCCTGTCTTGACAATCACAGGTACTGGACTGTCCACACAACAACTAGAAGCGCTGGTCAAGATGAAACCATCCGAGGACGAGGAGAAAAAACTACTTGATTATGATGGGGACATCAACATGTTGGATCCAGCAGAGAACTTTGTCAAGGTGCTACTGACAATACCAAAGTCATTTTCAAGAATCGAGGCAATGCTGTACAAGGAAACTTTTGATGATGAAGTTGCCCATCTCAGGATGTCCTTTGCACTGATTAAAGTAAGTAGAGCTATTCGATTAATTTAGAAGATAGAAACATTCTATTGAAGTTACAACTATTTCTTTGTTTACTAGGGTGCCTGCAGTGAACTCAGGTCCAGCAAATTGTTTTTAAGATTACTTGAAGCAGTACTCAAGACCGGAAACAGAATGAATGTTGGAACTATAAGAGGAGGGGCAAGTGCTTTCAGACTTGATGCACTGCTGAAACTGTCAGATATACGTGGAGCTGACGGGAAGACGACGACGACGACGACAACAACAACAACAACAACAAAGCCTTTAAGTCCCAAACAAGTTGGGGTAGGCTAGAGTTGAAACCCAGCAGAAGCAATTATGTTGTCCAAGAGATGGAGCGATTACAAGGATCAAAGGCTTCAGATAAGCTCAGTAGAACTTCTGGATCTTGTCAAGCCACACTGGCAGAAAGAGAAGAGTATCCAGAAATAGGTACAGAATTTGTTTCAGAGTTAAGTAATGAGCTTGGCAATGTGAAGAAGGTAGCAAGTATAGATTTAGATACCTTGAAAAGCTCAATCTCAAATCTATCACATGGACTGGCTCAACTGATAAGGCTTGTCAGCAAGGAGCTTAACTGCAATGACAGGAACCAGAACTTCCTGCAGTGCATGAGATCATTCCAAACTCATGCAGAGAATACCATGCAGGAACTCAAGGTTGACGAAGCCGAGGTCCTACAGCAGGTCAGAGAACTCACTGAGTATTATCCTGGAGAGGTTGGCAAGAATAGTCCAACCTCCTCCATATATTTGTCATCATGAGAGATTTTCTTGGTTTGCTAGATATGGTGTACCGAGACATGAGGGGTTCAAAGCACATCCAACCTCTGAACATAGTCCTTCCGCTCAGGTGAATACGTTCAATGATCAGACTTCACATTAACCACTTGGACATTAACAAATTAATTTTTTTGTGTGAATGTGTGTATAGTTATTAGCTTGAGATGGGTTTGTATCAGTTACGGAGAGTTTGTATACGTGCAGAATTGCATTAGCATGATGGTGTGTTTAGATTGCATGGTTTTCAATTTGTTGAATACACTCACAAGTCGCAACTTAATGCTGACCATGTTATTGTTTTGGAGGATTCTATATACTCCTGTAGTTACTGGTAACTGCCAAATATGTACTCTTGTATGTTTTCGTTTTGCTAATAAACTTTAAAAAATTTAAAGTCCAAAGAGCATGCCCGGGCCACTGTGCCAGTACACGTCAAAACATTACATGTCCATTTACATGCCAGTCTAAGGGCAACGAGGAATTTTCCCAAGATATATTCAGGGAAGATGGGATCTCTACCACTTTACAAATTTCAAGAAAATTTACTTCCCAGAAGATAAATGAAAAATGGATATAAACCATATTTTAGAGATAAAATCTGCAGAACTATTCTACAGTTTTATAACTTATTATTGCTCTCCAACAATTCCATAATATCAACAGTATAATCTCTCCAACAAGACCCACAACATTGAGAGATAGGAACCGGTACAAAAAGATCAGACGAATCCTGTTGAATGCTCAAAGATACAAAAATTGGAGATCGACAATAGAACTCCAACTGCAATCAGACTACTATGGGCATATAGATAAGATCATAACTCTTCAAGAGATCTTACAAAGTTAAGCTCTCAGGATCCTCAACAATCTTTGCAAAAGTTTGCAGGAATGCTGCCAAATCAGCACCATATACAATCCTGTGATCAGCAGTGACATTGACCTACAAAAAGAAATGTTGAAACAGCTTAGTTAAATACAAATCCCCTGATGCTATAATTTCATACTCTATGTCCACTATGCCATAACCACAGTTTCTGGTGAAAATATTGCCAGTATTGTCCTGAACAATCTGTTCAACACAAGAACTATTGCTGACACATTCCAAGTGGCAACCAACCAAAGAGATCCTAACTACTAACTGGCAGCACCAGCGATACATCCACACAATAAAACCAACAATATACACAACTCAAACAGACTTTGATGACTAGTGAGGTATAAGTTGTGGTGTTTGGTACCGATGAATTGTATATTTTCCATTGCAAAATTACTCATTTTAGGCCAGCAAATCTATTTCTATGATTTAGACAGAACCATAGAATAACAACTACTCCCTCTATTTCAAAATGTAATTCATTTAGTATTGTCTTATGTCAAACTTCTCCAACTATGACCAATATCAAATAAATGCATTATCAATACATATTCCATGGTGGATTTAATGAAACTAAATTGATGTTGTAGATGTTAGTACATTTTTTTGTATAAGTCAAAGGCAGAGAAGTTTCACTTAGGGCAAAACTAGAACAACCTACACTCTGAAACAGAATGAGTAATCATATAGACAATAATTGTAATTATGCGATAATATTGGGCATCTTATCATGGTAATTAACTCATGGAATTAAACCATGAAACACACTTCACATGATATATCTGACAAACTCTTCAACATAACGACTACATGTCATGAATACATTTTAAAACTAGTAGGATGTACAACTATTCACATTTCACCATACTGAAACATTATATGCAAACAACAGATGTCTTAAACAATCAGGTGCATAACTAACCAGCATTTTGTTCTTGACGCTAAAGAAACCATCTTTATCAGCCACAACTGTAGGTTTGGAGGCTCCAACCGCCATAATAGCTCCCTGCACCCATTGATACTCAAATATTAACCCTCATACATAAGTGAAGCATACGTATTACGATTTATATAAACTAGGAAGAAAGGGAATTAAGCCCACCTGTCCAGGCGGAAGGATTGCATCAAACCGATCTACACCAAACATACCCAGGTTGGACAGTGTAAAAGTCCCTGCAAATAACAAAATCTTCAGGTAAGCATGTCCACATAAAATTTGCAATAGGAAATCTAATACACTATGCAATGCCATGAGTTCCATACCAGAGCTGTACTCATTTGGTTGGAGCTGTTTTGCACGTGCTTTCTTGACTAGATCCTTCCAATTTTGTGAGAGCAAATATATATCCAGCTACAGTGTAACAATCAACAAAGCTGTTTGGTGAACTTGTTTGCTAAAACTGCAAAGTGAAGCCAAATTTATCACAAAAGATAGGTTGTACCTTGTCAGCATCCTGAAGGACAGGTGTAATAAGGCCACCGTCGATTGCCACAGCCACTGCAATGTTGATGTTACTGTTGTATGTGAAGCTCTTTCCATCCCTGCAGCTAGCATTGACTACAGGGTGCTGTGCAAGAGCCATGGCTGCAGCCTTTGCCAGCAGCACTGTCATTGTCACTCCCTTTGGCTTAACCTGTCAAAATCAAATCAGTCTAATAGTAATCAGGAAGCGGGCTAAGAAAAACAGAGGAGCTTCAAGTGCAGTCAAGCCCTGCTTCAAATCCTCACCTTTTCATACAGCTCATCGAGCTTATCGGTTACAATGGGGTAACCGACGCGGAATGCTGGCACTGCCAGGCTCTCCACCATGTTCTTGCTCACTGCAGCCTGCATGGTAGTGAATGGAACAACAGTCGCGCCAGGAACCGGCGGTAGCACTGCTGCCTGAGGCACCGCACCCACTGAAGGCGCAGCCACAGGTGGTGGCGCAGCAGCAGCAGGAGCGGGCTTTGACTTCGGCTGGATTCTGGCAGCCGCCTCAATATCTGCCGGCGTAATTCGACCGTACGGCCCGGTGCCAGTCACCTTGGCAAGGTCCACCCTGTGCTGCTTAGCCAGCTTCTTAGCGTGCGGGCTGGCGATGCCCTTCGTCCCCGCGGACACCGGTGCGGGGGGAGTCGCCGGAGCTGGAGGAGGCGGCGGCGGCGCCGCTGCGGCATCCTCCGTCGGAGCAGGAGGCGCCTGCTGCGGCTGCCCGTTGGAGAGCTCCTGAGCCTTGGCGAGCGCGAGCGGCACCTCCTCCTCCGACTCCGCGAGCAGCGCGATGGGGGCGCCCACCGGCGCGGACTCGCCGGCCTGGACGAGGACCGCCGCCACGATGCCGTCGTGGAAGGTCTCGACGTCCATGTCGGCCTTGTCGGACTCGACGACCACGACGGCGTCGCCCTTGGAGACGCGATCACCCTCTCCCGCGGACCAGGAGACGATCTTGCCCTCCGTCATGGTGGAGCTGAGCGCCGGCATGAAGATCTCCCGGATCTTGGCACGCACCACCATCCGCCCGCGCCGCGCCTGCCTCCAGCGCGCGCCCGCCGGCACCGCTCCGGCACGGAGCCGGGCGGGCAGGGTGGAGGCGGAGAGCGAGAGGGGTGCGGGGGCCGTCGCCATTGGAGGCGAGGAGAGGAGTGCTCGAGGTCGGAGGCGAGGAGAGGGGGCTTTGGCTGGTTGGGTATACGGGGGTGGAAAGCAGTGAGGCGGGCGGAGAAAGCGAGACGAGGATGGCTTTGGAAACTCCGATGATGCTGTCATGGACCGGGCTTTATCTTACTGTGGGCCTCTTACGTCATTAACAAGGGTGACCAGTCTAGCCCATCTACGGAAGTTGCGAGGCCAGACCATTTACGGTCACCAGGGATCTGGCCCATGTAAGTCCATATTCATTCATGGACCGGTTCCTAGGTCAATTTACCAGGAGGCTTTGGCCCATTTAATGAAATGATGGGCCTGTTCCGGCTTATTTCGTTAAGGCCCACAACTTCTACCACTGAGAACTGAGCTGAGAAGGACCATCCCATCCAGCTCCTCCTCGCGACCAAATCTGCCGTCTCCGCCGCCGCCGCCGCAGCCAGCATCACCGGAGGGATCCGCACCGTCCTGCTCGACGCGATGAACACGGACATCACCGCGTCGACGAAGCCGGAGTACCCGGTGGTGGATCGGAACCCGGCCTTCACCAAGGTGGTCGGCAACTTCTCCGCGCTCGACTACATGCGCCTCTCCACCATCTCCGCCGTCTCCGTCACCGTTGGCTACCTCTCCGGTTCGCCTCCCTCCCAAACCTTATCTCTCACTTCACTTCACCCCATCGGTAACTCAGACCCGCGCTTGTCGTGCAGGGATCAAGCCGGGGATCCGGGGCCCGTCGATGGTCACGGGCGGGCTCATCGGGGTCATGGGAGGCTTCATGTACGCCTACCAGAACTCCGCCGGCCGCCTAATGGGATTCTTCCCCAACGACGCCGAGGTCGCGCGCTACAAGTACAAGCTGTAGTGAGGATCCAGCTCCACTCCGTCTCTCTTTTCGCAACCGTTGCGCCTTTTTCTTTCCTGACCTCGTGTTAGCTTGATTACTTGATCTGGGCACTCTATGGCCTTGATTGAATAAACGCTGTATGCTGTTGCACAGTTATGAGGATTCGATGATACAATTCACCTCCTCTTGATGTTGTTTGGTGAGAATTTCATCGCCATTTCGGTGAATTTATGAATATTAAAGTGATTTCTGCTCTGAACTTGGTATTTGTTGTGTGGTCGTGTTTGTGTATCTTAGCTTGTCAGGATTGGGGATCATGACCTTGTTGCCTCACATGGTAAGCAATGGGGTTCGTTTGGCTCATTGGCTGCCTGTCGGGGAAGACTTCAATGTTTGTTTGTTCAGACGATCTTTGTATCAGGATTTACCTGGTTTCCTCCACATGTGAATTCGCTGCACATTTATCATCAAGAATCTCATGGGGGTAGATAGATGGTAGTATTAGAGAGCATACATAAATATTATCTGTGCTTACTAAAGTCCTGTTTGTTTTAGCTTGCATAGTGCAACTTACAAGCTGAAACGAATAGGTCTCTAACTGCAACAATCCATAGGCCAAATTGTTACAATCCAAC